TTCACTTCGGAAAGGATTCTCAGTTACTAATGCTCTTTAAAGTAGTTATGGAATCTGTGGTGATGTTTGTTAAAGTTCATCACCAAAGATATCTAGAAATCCATTTGTAGATCAAGAAATACTTTTTGTAGAACTTCTGATTTGTAATTTACTACATCACATAGATCCCATTACACAAACGTGAATACTTACTTACTGAAACGATTTATCAATATTTAACTCTGGACTTTGAAAAACTCCATCACTCAATAACGTTATAGCTGTAAATCGGGATTACTAACGTTAAATACGAGTCTTAGAACTAGGAAACTTTATACCAGTGACTTAAAGTAATTAAATTACAAAACAGATAAGAACAAATATAAATGGGTAACTCAAACTAAAGCACCTACATTGTATCCGACAGATGGCGCTAGCAGTCCATAAGCCGTACGTTATAATTTACAAATAAATTTTTACAAGAATTCTTTAATTATTTTGGGTAATCATATTAGTTATTCTCTAGCAAAAATGTTTAATACACATAACTGAAACAGATTACGATGAAGGATTTTATTTTTAGCGATAAAATCAACAAGATAAAACTAGATTGCAATAGATAATAGATTTCCATGATCTCCAACTCCAGTAGTGTACCTGGTTTAAAGAAGGAAAAACAAAATAATAAGTTACGTTTTCACTTTGTTGCTACTAGCGCTTTTCAATACTAAATTGTTTCGTTGTCAAGCCAGCACGCAATAGATGAACGAGCCATTGTACCCCAGCAACCCACGAGGTGCGTGCAGAGCGACCACATATAGGAACTGTGCAGATACCTCTGAGAGCAGACCCTTGTCTTTCCCATGCTTTATGGGATCATCTGTTATTCACTGAGATCATCACCTCACGAAACATGTTTTACTGAGATCATCACCTCACGTAACATGTTTACTGAGATCTTCACCTCACGAAACATGTTTTACTGAGATCATCACCTCACGTAACATGTTTACTGAGATCCTTCACCTCACGTAACATGTTTTACTGAGATCATCACCTCACGTAACATGTTTACTGAGATCTTCACCTCACGTAACATGTTTTACTGAGATCATAACATGTTTTACTGAGATCATCACCTCACCTAACATGTTTACTGAGATCATAACATGTTTTACTGAGATCATCACCTCACCTAACATGTTTTACTGAGTTCATATGAAGGCACTGCCTGTTCAAAGTGCTTTTGTTCGCTGTAAAATCTAAAATATTATATTACGATAATTCTAAACAATGAGACATTTTGTTCAATCTATTGAAACCTCTAATTTAAACACACATTTTAGTTTCATCAGATCACCAGAAAAAGATAAAAACCGTGGACCTTTTGACCCCATTCGTTCCAGACAAAAGTGAATAATTATTTTATCACATACTATAATAAGTCACAGCTGACTGGCTTAAAAGTAAAACTTAGCAGGACCTCACACGTTATTTAATAAAGTGTAAAATAACCTTAAACCTTACTTAATAAAGTGTTCAAATAACCTCATACCTTACTTAGTAGTGTTAAAATAACCTTACACCTTACTTAATAAAGTGTTCAAATAACCTTACACCTTACTTAATAAAGTGTTCAAATAACTTCACACCTTACTCAGTAGTGTTCAAATAACCTCACATCTTACTTAGTAGTGTTCAAATAACCTTACACCTTACTTAATAAAGTGTTCAAATAACCTCACACATTACTTAATAGTGTTCAAATAACCTCACACCTTACTTAATAGTGTTAAAATAACCTTACACCTCACTTAGTAGTGTTCAAATAACCTCACACCTTACTTAGTAGTGTTAAAATAACCTCATAACTTACTTAATAGTGTTCAACTACCCTCACACATTACTTAATAGTGTTCAAAGAACCTCACACTAAGTAAGGTGTAAGGTTATTTGAACACTACTAAGTGAGGTGTAAGGTTTTAACACTATTAAGTAAGGTGTGAGGTTCTTTGAACACTATTAAGTAATGTGTGAGGGTAGTTGAACACTTTATTAAGTAAGGCTAGTGTTAAAATAACCTCATAACTTACTTAATAAAGTGTTCAACTACCCTCACACATTACTTAATAGTGTTCAAATAACCTTACACCTCACTTAGTAGTGTTCAAATAACATCACACCTTACTTAGTAGTGTTAAAATAACCTTACACCTAACTTTGTAGTGTTAAAATAACCTTACACCTCACTTAGTAGTGTTCAAATAACCTCATAACTTACTTAATAAAGTGTTCAACTACCCTCACACATTACTTAATAGTGTTCAAATAACCTTACACCTCACTTAGTAGTGTTAAAATAACCTTACACCGAACTTAATAGTGTTCAAATAATCTTACACCTTACTTATAAAGTGTTAAATACCCTCACACCTTGCTTAATAAAGTGTTCAACTAACCTCACACCTTACTTAGTAATGTGTTAGAATAACCTGACACCTTATTTAATAAAGTTTAGTGTTTATGAACTCTCAGACTGAAAGAGTCACTGGAAAATTGTTTAATGTAATAATTTGTTCGTTACACAGATTTAGGAATGTTTGGTAGCTATGTTTTGTCTATTTTTACTGACTGACGAAGTAATGTATGTGCTAAATGTCCTCTAGGAAAGTTTAACCCACTGTAATAAGTAGACAATAGTTTATTCTCTCAGTCTTGTCTGGAATTCTTCTGAACTTATTTGATCACTCCATGTCCTCTTTCTGTCTGTAAATAGTTATGTAATACAAACAAAAAGCCCATCCTTCACATTGTGCCTAACCTTTTTTGAACTAAATGAATTGACTTATTCTTCCAAACCTTCAGTGGTCATTGTTCCTGACACAGAAACTAAGAACGCCGCTGTAATGATTGGCTGAGGACGTTATGGTGGACGCTAAGAATAGGGTTGATGACAAGAATGGTTAGTTGAAGATGTTATAGTGAAGGATTTGAACAGGGTATTGGGTTTAGCTCTGTTTATGCTGTAGACCTGCTTACAATTGTTAAAGTGTATCATGGCTGTTATATGTAACCTGCTTGCAATTGTTAAAGTGTACCATGGCTGTTATACGTAACCTGCTTACAATTGTTAATGTGTACCATGGCTATTATACGTAACCTGCTTACAATTGTTAAAGTGTACCATGGCTGTTATATGTAACCTGTTTACAATTGTTAAAGTGTACCATGGCTGTTATATGTAACCTGCTTGCAATTGTTAAAGTGTACCATGGCTGTTATATGTAACCTGCTTACAATTGTTAAAGTGTATCATGGCTGTTATATGTAACCTGCTTACAATTGTTAAAGTGTATCATGGCTGTTATATGTAACCTGCTTACAATTGTTAAAGTGTATCATGGCTATTGTATGTAACCTGCTTACTATTGTTAAAGTGTATCATGGCTATTGTATGTAACCTGTCAACTACTGTACCACGTGGTTTGGTCAGTTTAGATCCTATGTCGATTTTTGATGGGGATCAAAACAGAGTTATCGTTATTAAGGGTGACATAAGGCCCCACGTCCACTTGTTGGGATCTTTTGTATAGAACTAAAAATAAGTTTTATTTTTCTTACACTGTTACTTACCAGTGTTATCTGTGTTACTTACACTGTTGCTCACTAGTGTTATCTGTGTTATCAACAACTCCATCAGTTTCCAATAAGTGGACTGATAATAAATACTACATCAAGCCTTATATGTAAAAAGCACCAATTGTATTGCTTCAACTCCGAGTTAGCCTGAAGGTAACGCTATAAAATTCTAATCGAGGTGCCCTTTGATAAAGAGATAATAAACACCGAAAAGTCCCACAGCCGATCGAAGTCTGACGTCATTTCGTGTTTTTGTTCTTCCACGCTGTAGTGAGAATTGTGATCGATTGTATTAGCCAGGCAGCCGAGCGCTCAACGTGTTATCGTTTGCAGAAGCCAGGCAGCTGGTAACATAGACTGCACAGTTATCGCCTCGATACTGCTATATTTAACCATCTGGTTGTAAACACGTTTTGTTCGTCACGTAGTTAGTACACGTACTCGGATTTAAACAGCTGCGAGCTGGAGAGACAGAATAATGAAGCGACAATATTATGTAGAAATTCACCGAAACATTAACACGACAAAAACATTTGTACAGTAGCAGAAGGAGGGCGAGGGCAACCGTGTTTTCACTCAACAGACGTATCTTTGGCCACTTTAATTAAAAAGTGGTTCCCTTCTTTAGTTAGTTTAATTGGAAACTCTAATTTAACAAATTTTCAACTGTTGATTCATTGTTTTAGTGGAACCTTAACAATTAACTGTCAAATAAATATCTTGGATATCATCCATACTTAAAACTGTGAAGCCATGTTGGATATCATCCATACTATTACACTTTAAAACTATGAAGCCATGTTGGATATCATCCATACTATTACAGTTTAAACTATGAAGCCATGTTGGATATCATCCATACTATTACATTTTAAAACTATGAAGCCATGTTGGATATCATCCACACTATTACAGGTTGAAGCTTAGGAAGCCATGTTGAATATCATTCATTCTATTACAGTTTGGAGTTTATGAAGCCATGTTGGATATCATCCATACTGTTCAATGATATGATTATTATTTTAATACAACTTGTGGTAGTTACAACTATAGTTTTTGGACAAAGTGTGTGACATGTTTCTTTTTACGGTTCTTACTGATCGCTGGTGTATTCTTCGTATTTCAAATGGTTGAAATTTCCTTGATCTTCAGGCACTTAACACTTCTACTGTGTTTATGATCGCTACTCCAGAAATTTGATTACGTAAGAAAACTTGCACAGTGCTTCTCGCGTGATCATTTTAGCCAATCAAAACATAGAGTTTTATCTAGCACACAGTGAGGTTAAGCTACTTGAGCATTGATTGGTTAACATAGTGAAACGTCATCGGAAAAAGTTCCCATCTTTGACGTCAAATACATTCGAGAGAGCAGATAAGCTGACGCACAGAGTAATTTATCTCGTGTGGAGGAGACTGTTGAGGAGGAAGGAAGTTCGGTAACGAGGAGGATAATCTTACTTCTACTGGAAGGATAGAAAGTCAGGACTCGATTAAGATCCAAGTTCGAGGCCTGTGATATCAAGTGGACAAGCTGTATCGTCATATACCAAGTTATCTCACGTTTTCCAGTGTTCGTAAAAGTGTAACCATGAAAAGGGAAGTCCGGACTGCAGCAGAATTTTTAACAAATCTTCTCCGACTGGGGAAGATCCTGGACGCCAGTCAACTTCGTTTATTTCACAGTCAAATGGAGAAGTTTTTAACCGAACACTATCAACAACATTGGTTTCCGAATAACGCTTTTAAAGGTTCAGGCTATCGGTGTCTGCGGATCAATCACAAAATGGACCCAGTGATCGGTAAAGCGGGTAGGTCATGTGGTCTTAGAGAAGGTAGTCTCAGAAAACTGTTCCCTCACGAGCTTACTATGTGGGTTGACCCCGGTGAAGTGTCTTATCGAATTGGTGAGAACGGAAGTATTTGTGTTTTGTATGATGGAAACAAACAGGAATCTTTGTCGGACTCTGACGACACCTATGATGTAGAACACCAACAGAAAGTTTTGACAGACTCTGACGACAGCTGTGGGGTAGAAAGCTACCATCATGACAGCGGTGGTTACTTCGACATGCCAAGTCATCATTCATTTATTGAAAATATCCCTCGGTTGTTGCGTGGAAGTTGTAAAGAAACTGTGTCTCGTGTAGGTAGAGTAGGGTGGGAAAGTTTTATTATGGATCCTCGGTACTCAAACCTTGGACTCGAACATTTAACAGCTTTTGTCTCCAGTTAAATACAGGTCTACTTCATCCGAATCCAGTTAAATCCTGGTCTACTTCAACTGAATGTAGTCAGGATTGAATTATATTATGTGATGATCTCTTATTTGTAAATGTAAAGCTAAGCCTAGTTCAATAAGGTTTTGTGGTAAGCTCTCAGGAAATGAATGACAAAATAACAAGTTTACAAACTGGCCTAGAGTAGAAAGTTTTGGAATTAGGGACCATTAACCGTACCAACCGTCGTAAAATTATCAATTTCCATATTTAAACAGACTGTACTGATATTTGTGATAACGGCCCAGGAACTAATTATTGTCAGGATGGTTCATTATAATGTGATTCAACAGGTGATTTTAATTTAATTAAAAAACTAGCGTTTCTTAGATCAACGAATCCTTGAAGATTATGCTTGCAAATACATGAATTCCGACCCTTGTGGAGAAACAAACATACTGAATGTGATTTTGTACTTACTATACGTGGCTGCCTACATAGCTGTAAAAACACTGCCTATTTTCAGTAACTTCCGACATCAGGAAAGCAATTCGTTAAAAGGGCGTAGTTCAGAACTTGCTCATGCAGCCTGTATCAGTGATACAACTTACAAGATCTTAATTAACTCGTTAATAGATCTCTTTAAGATATACCGTTGTTACTGGTCGCTTAAAGTGTACTATAAGGACACCCAGACCAAGTTATAGTGTGTTAGTTTATATTTTTTAGCAGATGGAGTTTTAAATAACCAGTAAGGAAATTTCACTAACACTTACAAAAACATTCAGAAGCTAGGCTTCCGCCTGAGAAGTACGTAGATCAGTTGTATGCCCGAGTGCTCCACCTATTATTATTAATTTACATTTGAAAATATATAAAAAGCAATGCTTAGAAAGACAGTAACTTTTTCCTGTGTTAGGCAACAACTATCATATTATCAAGTTTTTATCATATTAATTAACTAGACCTGTTATACAACACAAACATTTTTTTTTTTAATTTAGAAATTCAAGTGATTTTTTCCCTAAAATTGTTGTTGTACTTAAGTTATCATTGGAAAGAAACATAACGAATTGTAGGCCTAATAAGACCACAAATCCCTTTCCTGTGGCTTGCCAAGTATACTTACTTGAACGTTGAACCGGTATTTTATGTAATCAAATCGACTTTATTCCTACCGAATGTGATGTAAAATAAGCTGAGAATGGATAGATTTAAGATAACTGGGCCAAAACGTTTCGCCCATCATAAGGCAGTCTACTGTACAAATGCTTTCTGTAAAAATGTAACATAAAAGTTAAAACTATTTTGCATGTACAGTATATATATATACATTCGTTGACATAAGACGTTTTGTACAGCGACTTGTATTAAATAAAAAATTATTTGTGAGTTGTACCAGCACAACTTTGTATTTCATTTATTTGACCAGATTTTACCGTAGCAACGCATTCACAAAACCTAGAAACGAAAACTACATGTAACCTGAACACATATGTTACGACTAAAAACGCGATATTCTTCAACATGGATCAAAGTTTTTATAAATCACTTGTAAGTTATAAAACATTAGTGTGAAGTCATAATAACACCTTGCAATTCGACAAAAATTGTGGTTCTCTCTAAGCTTGTAATTATTAATAATAAAACACCCACAGCAAAATTTTAAGAAAAAGTCCAGTTAAAGCGAAACACTTTTTAAATTAAACTTCCATGCACCAGTCAGTAATGAACCAGATGTCGTGTTGTATTTGATATAAAGAAAGAGTCTAGCATCTACCAGTCAGTAATGAACCAGATGTCGTGTTGTATTTAATATAAAAAAAGAGTCTAGCATCTACCAACCAGTAATGACCAGATGTCGTGTTGTATTTAATATAAAGAAAGAGTCCAGCATGCACCAGTCAGTAATGAACCAGATGTCGTGTTGTATTTAATATAAAGAGAGTCTAGCATGTACCAGTCAGTAATGAACCAACTGTCGTGTTGTATTTAATATATAAAGAGTCCAGCATGGACCAGTCAGTAATGAACCAGATGTCGTGTTGTATTTGATATAAAGAAAGAGTCCAGCATGCACCAATCAGTAATGAAACAGATGTCGTGTTGTATTTAATATAAACAGTAAATGAACCAGATGTCGCCAGGCATGCACCAGTCAGTGATGAACCCGATGTCGTGTTGTATTTAATATAAAGATAGTCTAGCATGCACCATTCAGTAATGACCAGATGTCGTGTTGTATCTAATATAGAAAAGAGTCTAGCATGTACCAGTCAGTAATGACCAGATGTCGTGTTGTATTTAATATAAAGAAAGAGTCCAGCATGGACCAGTCAGTGATGAACCAGATGTCGTGTTGTATTTAATATAAAGATAGTCTAGCATGCACCGTTCAGTAATGACCAGATGTCGTGTTGTATTTAATATAGAAAAGAGTCCAGCATGTACCAGTCAGTAATGACCAGATGTCGTGTTGTATTTAATATAAAGAAAAAGTCCAGCATGCACCAGTCAGTGATGAACCAGATGTCGTGTTGTATTTAATATAAAGAACGAGTCCAGCATGTACCAGTCAGTGATGAACCAGATGTCATGTTGTATTTAATATAAAGAAAGAGCCTAGCATGCACCATTCAGTAATGAACCAGATGTCGTGTTGTATTTAATATAAAGAAAAAGTCTAGCATGCACCATTCAGTAATGAACCAGATGACGTATTGTATTTAATATAAAGAAAGAGTCCAGTATGCACCATTCAGTAATGAACCAGATGTTACTTACATATATGTAAACTATCACATAGTACAATATTATATTGTTACTTACATACATGTAAACTATCATATAGTACAATATTATATTGTTACTCACATATATGTAAACTATCACATAGTACAATATTATATTGTTACTTACATACATGTAAACTATCATATAGTACTATATTATATTGTTACTCACATATATGTAAACTATCACATAGTACAATATTATATTGTTACTTACAAATATGTAAACTATCACATAGTACAACATTATATTGTTACTCATATATATGTAAACTATCACATAGTACAATATTATATTGTTACTTACAAATATGTAAACTATCACATAGCACAATATTATATTGTTACTTACCTATATGTAAACTATCACGTAGTACAATATTATATTGTTACTTACATATACCTAAACTATCACATAGTACAATATTATATTGTTACTGACATATATGTAAACTATCACATAGTACAATATTATATTGTTACTTACATGTATGTAAACTATCACATAGTACAATATTATATTGTTACTTACATATATGTAAACCATCACATCATTTACTGTTGTAGGCCTTGACACCCTAGTCAACTGATATCCGATAAAAACCGGATAATAGCTGATGTTTTAGTTAAGGTCTGGGGAATTCCTGTAAATAATTTCAGAACTATTCCACTTACTGTTTGACCTGCAGGTCTGAGCAAAAAATATCCTTCAAAAATCGCCGTTCTTTTTAAAGTAGCAACTAAACGTCGTGTGCTAAATACTATGTTAAACGTATACCAAATTTCATAAATTGAAATTTTGGGAAGTATGTTATATATTTTTTAAAATTCTGTACAATTTGATGTGTACAAGAAGACGAAGAAAATCAGATGAAATTTGGCATCAAATATCTCAGTTTTGGCTAAACAGATTTTCTTGAAATTTGAAATATGAGGCAAACAAGCTTGAAGGCAATGTAAGTGAAAAGTTCAAAAATGCATGTATAGTGTGGAAGTATATGAAGATGAACTTTGTATAGTGTTAAAGTGTATGAAGATGAACTTTGTATAATGTGGAAGTGTATGAAGGTGAACTTTCTGTACTGTGGAAGTATATGAAGATGAACTTTGTATAGTGTGGGAGTATATGAAGATGAGCTTTGGGAGTGTATGAAGATGAACTTTCTGTACTGTGGAAGTGTATGAAGATGAACTTTCTGTACTGTGGAAGTGTATGAAGATGAACTTTGTATAGTGTGGGAGTATATGAAGATGAGCTTTGGGAGTGTATGAAGATAAACTTTGTTGTTTTTGTAGATTCTAGTTCTAGTCACTTTAATGCGCAGGAATTATTTGAAAAACATGTAATTTATGCACAGAAAATCCAAACACAAATTAAGCAACTAAATCACTGACCTAAAAAAAGGCCAAACTGAGATCTAATTTTAGTATTCTTGATGTGAAATCCATGTCAAGAACGATGAGGGTAAACTTCTTGGCTCAGATGTTTCGGCACGCCCTTACCGAGAAACAACTTATGTGTTGCTTGTTTCTTCGGGTCTAATCAGCGAGAGTTAAATTATCTGTTGAAGCTTTTCAGATAACCCTTCGGTAGTTTGCGTAAATTTGTCAAACAAACAAAAACAATCATATAAGTGGCATTATTTTTGGTTTAAATGAAAAATGTTTTCCCTCTTTACCCTCGGTGGGACAGCAGTAAGTATACGGACTTACAACGCTAAAATCCGGGGTTCAGTTCCTCGCAGTAGACACAGCAGATAGTCCAGTGTGACTTTGCTCTAAACCATAAACAGATTAATTTACGTCACGCCTTTGAATCTACTATATTTGTTAAATATGAAGGATATGATCAATGATTGCGTTAAATAATATAGACATGGTGTTGTTTATAAACCAAATGTCAAGTACCATATCATACTGCTCTTGTAATCTATGTAGATTAGGGTTAGAACATCGTTCAAGGTTTTCTATTCTCCAGTAAACAACACACAAAGCTTTTTTTTTTTTCCCCGGCAACGTTGTGATGATTATTACGATAAAAAAAATCAGCGTAACTTCTGTTTTGCTTACAGAGTCCGCATCACGTACCATGACTCACATAGTTGCAACACACATACCTCCCACGTGGATTTCCCAGCAGGCTGCTTGTTGTATGCTAAAACTGAGTGGTAATTGGATGAAATAACGAGAAACATTGTTTTTATTTCTGTAGTAGAATTATCATAATTAATATTACAAGCTAGGAATATTAATATTAAATATGGAATTTATACTATTACTTTGTTTAAATAATTCCTCGTATCTGCTGAAAAAACGAGAAAATAGCATATCTTCAAGCTCAAAGTGAACGCACGCTGATATATTTGACGACGAGAAAACCACTTAGGTACTAAGTTGGACATGGTTTGATATGGTAATGAAAAAAATATTTACTACAAGTTTAACATAGCAACAAACGTACAACATTTTAACAAGGTTTTGTAATAAAGTTGTCTTTGTTGCCCATTCCAGCCGTCTACAAACTTACTTGTACGACAACCAACTTTCGTTTTAACAAGACGTATAGAACAAACCTGGAAAACTTTAACATTGTCCAAACATCGTGTTAACTATTTCCAAACATTTAAAAATACAGCTTCTTCACTAATTTGATTATTCAATTCTTACTAAAATATGTTATTAATTTATTCACGGTGTTGTATGTCGTAAAATTCAGATATTAGAACATTAATTCAACCATTTTTGCAACACAATGCCTTCCTAAATTAGTATGTGTATACATACCTAGGCGGTAGTTGGTTGTCCTGGCAACCAGATAATAACGCCTACTGTTAAATAATTACAAAATTCACTAATTATATACCATATAAAGAAGTAGATAAACCAATTACTTGATGATTCGACTTGTAATCTGATTTTTATAGCGGATCTACTTCATTAAAAAAACAAAAACAAAGTGATATCAGTGCTGTTAGAACCCAGTGCTTTCAATAAGCAAACAAGACCTGAAACCTCTCCAGCTAATGTTTGCGTGTCTGTCTGTAACAACCAGTTTACAACCTCTAATTGACGTGAAACTACAAGAGTTGAGCCCAAAAGTATTTTAGAGCGTTCTACTATATTCATCTTCTCGTGTTTACAATAATTTCAAAATTCCCCCCTTGCGTTTCAACGCGCGCCGTCCTCATGAGGCAAGCCTAATAAAGGTTGCGGGTACTTTTGATAGTCGCTTTAATAAAATTAATATTATACAGCGAGTAAGAAAGATCTAAGTACTACTGCTCGTTCAGTAAAATATATCAAACGACCAGAGCTTTGTCGAGTTTTATACAAGGCCTTCACATGTCTGCTAAACTCAGAAACTACAAAACAAAACGTATCACTTTCAGCTCTATAAACTCAGATTGAAGGTATGGTACCTTATTTCTGGAACGTAATCTTGCGAAAGGGTTAACGTGGATTGGGAAATAGAATATGAAAAACAGAATGTTTGATGTATGTTTTTCAATCATTTGCAAATTGCAGCCAAGTTTGATTATTTAAAAAAGGAACAGAAACACGTCACTTCGCGAGTATTGTGACGTGATCCCTCAGAAAATAGCAACATCTAAG